CAGTGAGGCAAGCTGGTAGATTAAAAATTAGACTTATTTTACTTATTTTATATTTTTTTTCAAGAAATTGAAATGTGAAATGCCTGAAACCAAACTTTCAGAAAATTTCAGGTTTGCCTGTCACGAAGTGGCAGGAAAATGAAGAGTTATTTGGAAAGTGATCAGTTTCTTTTCTTAGTTCCTAAAATTGTGGGGGTCGTACATTTAAAAGTCAGGTTTTGAAACAGGTGATCTGTCTTGTTGCACAATTAGCATGCAGCAAGGGAGCAGAGCTCTGCCGCCCACTGCCCAAGCACACAAGCATCCTCCGACCCCACAGCAGGAGAAGAGAGCCACCCTCTTCTTCATCACAGGAGATGGCTAACGTAGAGCCAGAGCCAGGAAAATTGTTTTCCTTTTCCAACTATATGTCATCATTGATCATATCTATCAGAAGTCAACAATTGGTTAACTTCTTTCACTTTTTTGAGAGAGGAAGCTTCACTGGTGGACTTGGTGCTGTTTGGCCATGGAGACATTTCATCAAAACTAATGAAAGGAAATGAAACTGAACTATTTCATAGCAGTAGCATCATCTGTTTACTGTCTCTACCATGGGGTGTCCTGCACTAAAGTTTGCATGTGAAAGGCTGGATCTGTGCTCCTGTTCATCTACTTTGCTCTCTCCAGTGGCATTGTGTTTACAGGGCTGGGGGCAGGACCATAAGAAGGCTGACTGACCATGACATTGTGTTCTTAAAGTCTCTCTTCAGGCTTATTTCTTTCAGACTCAAACTATTCTTGTTTAAATCATTCTTTAACAAAAGCTTGTTTTAGGCATGTGGCTCGTGCTATTTCCACTATCTGAGCAATTAGGGTATTGTTCTTATTATTTTTAAGGGAAAATTTAGACACTATGACAAAAACTAACCAAATCCAAAGCCTTCTCAACCCCCTGGGATTTCTATCTGAAACTTCTCAGCTTTGTTTTCCCAAGGAAAATTCCAAACTCCCTACATGAAGCTTTCTCCAGCAATTATACCAGCCTCTTACTGAGTTTCTATTGTGTAAAAGCTGGCCTCTCTGACCTGCTCTGTTCCTCCAGTGCCTGACTGAAACCCCGCAGAGAAGGCTTTTATTTGCTCATGCCATGGGACAGAAAGCAGGGTACTTAGCTGGATGAGATAAGCCTTTTCCGGATGACTCCACTGCAGAGCCCATGAGTGATATCAGAGGCCAAATCTTTTAAAATAGGTCACCTCTTGCCCTGCATAGCTGCTCCAAGTGCATTAACATTATCCAGTGGGAGAAGAGAGGCAGATGAATTTTGATCTTACTCTAAAATGACTATAAGGCTTCCCTCAGCATAGTCATGCCATTTGTACAACTGTGGAGATTCACAGGAAAAGCGATCACCAATGTCAAGCAGATGTCATCCCGGCTGTAACCAGCCTCCTTCCACTTTCTTTGTTTTCTGACCGCACGTAATGACAGCTTTGGGGTGGCTTGGCTTATTGTGTCAGCGTTATGCTCACAAGAGCGTGTGGGAGACAAATCCCTTGGTGTTTCTTCCTCCACATTTCAGCAATATAGCCAGGCCAAATCTTGCAGGTTTCCCTGCAAGTGGGTGAGATGTAGCACTCGGTAAAGCCTAAAGCTTAGATGTCTAATGCTGAAATGGGCTCTGTGCGGGTAGATGGACATTCAGAAGTGTCTCTCCTTAAACAAATGAGGCTTCATTTCAGCAAGTCTCTGTACATATGTGGATTGATGGAAATATCCTTTAGACTGAAGCTCTTATTGATGAACAGGAACCATTTCTCTTCTTGAGGACAGTGACCAAAGCCTGAAACCCTGTTTATTTTGCCAGGTGCTACTCCAGCCTACATGAGGTAAGGGTCACACTAGCCTCAGACACTATCCACTCAGCACAGGGAAAAGTCCTCAACTGCTTTTTCCTCAGCACAGGTGTAAAAAACCCCCTCTAAACAAAACTCCAATCTTATTTTTACTTACCTGAACTTTCCAGTAACTTGGGCATGTACAAATCTGTTCTCAGATCTTCATATGATTTCTATTATAACACTTTAAAACAAAACCACAAAAAACTGTCAAGAAATGACGTGAGTAGTTAGATTTCCTCTTAGCTAATTAGAGCAGCCAAGAATAAGTTAAACTGGAAAAAAGCCATATGCTGAGATCTGGAATATAATACAACTGTATTGTGTTCTGTGATCAATGTTATGGTCTGCGAGGGAGGAAAATGGAGCATCATTAAAAAGTCTCCTTCTCTCCTGGCCCCAGAAGGAGAGGCAAACGTGTAGGGAGAAGCTTGGTTTCTGTTTTGTGTAGGAGAGAGATAGCTGAATTCACATTCTCATTGGTATAGTTGCCTAGTTATAAACATTATAAGGAAAAATTTCTTATTCTGTATAATTATGAATTTTTTACTCCAGCCCACACTGCATTTCAGGTCTGCTCTCTATCACCACTAAAATCCCCTTTTACTTCTGCTAAAATCCCACTGTCCCTGACTCCCATTACTACTTCAGCTACACACAAGCACTTCTATCTTCTTTCTGTGGCCCCCTTCCCTTTCATCTTTTCCTCCTCCTCTACAGAAAGAGTTTTTGTTTATTTTCTACTCTCTGCCTCAGCCTATGGCACTCAGGGATCTCAGCTTCCTTTGTTCCCATTCCTTGGCAACTCTCCCTAAAAATCTACATGCTCCATTGTATCTTATCTATCAAAATGCCTGTCAAAAATAAGCATGCAATAGTCTTTCTGTCCTGAAAAATAAATGCATATCAAAATGTACTAATAACCAAACTACATCTCCATCCAGCTCTACATTTCCCTTCATCTCACAGCTCACTTGAAACACTTCATATCTGCTGCCTCTTTTGTCTCTTTTGCTCCTTTAGGTTCATTTCTAATCTCTGTTTACTGGATTTGAAAAACCGTATTATTTCTGTAAATCATTCTTAAATTTCCACATTGTCTGATGCTATTCATTGGCATTCTTCATCCTGTGGATATGAATTATTTTCCTAACTCCATACAGGACCAGTTCTTGTTCCCAAATTTGCCCATCATCTAAGGGCTGCTGGGTGAAGGGAAAGGCTGGAAACTTTCCAGTTCTTGTAGGTTTAATGTCACCCTACTAAGAACACAAAGTGTGCAAGCCCAAAGGTTTAGGGTTGTGCACATCCTTAGGAACAAGACCTGAAACCCAACAAAGCTACTGATTTAAGTTTTTGTTCTTTATGCAAGCTTCAGCTTGGGTTTACAAAACATATTTTTAATTTGGGCAAGTTTAGAGTTTCAGGAAGGAATGGGACATAACTTACTTTTCATTGTTCTCTGCTGCAAGTTCCTGAATTATGGAAATTTCAGCCTCCAAACTAAATCCAGGATCCTGAGCTAAAAAAATCCAGTGTTAAATCACTGAAGTCCACATCTGTTTGGTTTAAAACCAACAAGAAAGATTACAAGCACATAAATAATCATCCTTTTAGCCCTCCTAACTTCATACCCCAAACTGCTTTACAAACATGAATAGACGCTGCTATACTTAAATAGGCACTGCTATACTTATTTACAGGTAGGGAAGTCAAGGAAGAGATTAGTCACCTTACCAAAGTTCATACAAATGTCAGTGGCAGGAACTGGCCTCCTGATTGTCCTGTCTAAATCTGCATCTATGGGACCAGTAATTAGTACTGTTTCCAACTACATTTTTTAACCTCAAGTATAAGTAATTCGAATTTCTTTCATATGAAAGTAAAGAAACCAATCACATTGGGGGGGGGGGGGGAACAACCAAAAAAACAAACCAACAAACATTAACTCAGTTAATGTTTGCAAGATGCACAGATACAATGGTAAAGAATGGAATAGGAAATGCAATCTGTCTGCCTGGACTGGCTCATCCCTTCACACACAGCACATCACAAGCAGCCAATATCTAGGGAATAAGTTAGATGAAGTGATATTGCCTAGACCTAATTCGTCCCTCAGACATACATTTACAGATCTGCCACACCTCAGTGGAAATTGCAGTGATAACTATAAGTTGAAAATTTTAGTAGAAGCGTTGGTACGGTGAGATGTCTCTGTTTTTAATGGCACTGTATTTTAAGGCTTCAAATTATTTTGCATCCTGCGTGATCTTTGTTAAATATTTGGAAAACCATCATCAGAAGACAGACACTTTCTGGCCCTTAACCACATCAAGACAACGGTAGAAAAGTAATTTAATCTCATGCGAAAACTGGTTAAGTGCAATGGTTAGAAAGACCCTTGACCCTCCCCTGCTTCGTAAAATTTTACTTAGCTGTTCAGACTGGTTCTCAGAGATGCATATTTTCATTAGAAATTTCTAGTAATGAATGATCTTTTCTGCCATGCCTATAGTCCAAAGCAAATTAAGGCAACAAAAGTAAGCAGTTCCAGGAAAAATTTCGGTCCAGGATTGTCATGAAATTTATAAGATGAAAGATCAGTCTTTGTTAAGCTTTGGTTTGCTAATTTTACATATTACTGTTAGGTGTCCTTCAGTACCAGTGCTGGTATATTAATAACTGTGATGAGGGTCCTCTTATTATTTGAGGCCAGTAGAGCCCTTTCTGAGTTTGCTGCACACTGTTTGGCCAAGCCTTTTCTGAGGATGGAAGAAAGCGCCGTGTCTGGACAGAGCAGCCACGTATCCCGCCATGCACTATTGAGCAGAGAGCCCTGCTGCGAGCCTGGCCAAAGGGCCTGCTGCTAAAGGCACTCCATTGCTTGCTCTTAGTGCGCAGACAAAAATGGGAATTAAGTGTTTTAGACACAGTGCTTATGTCTAAATGCTGATCAGGGCCTCTGGTTTTCTGAGACACACAAAAGAGAAAAAAAAGCTGTGAATCAGAAGGTTAATTTCTTATTTACGATAGTGCCATAGGTTTCAGGGCAGAGTTGCAAGAGTTAGCACTGAAAAATGCTTTTGTACTAACTTTTCTCTTTCCATATCTTTTCTCTAGAAAAAGACGAGAAGAGAACAAACCTCTCACAGGCAGAGGTAAGTGAAATCTTTCTTTTTTTAAACATATTTATTGTTAAAATAGGTCTGTTGTTAAAAACGCTTTGAAACTTACCGATCCTCCTTAATGTTTTCATTTTCATTGTCACACCATCTTCAGTAACGCAGCCTTTCAAGAACCATCGCTTTCAAACCAGGGCTGTGTAAAGCTGTGTTGTGCCTCAGCTCCACAGGCTGTCCCTTCTCCCTGTGGCGGGGTACTGGGAATGGCAAGTTTCCCCCTGGCTTGCTGCCATGCCCTTGCAAATTGTGGCAAATCCTGCCCAAGATGACCCTGCCAGGGGTCGCCTCATCCAGCATTGCTTTGGGTCTGCAGGTCATGGCTGGTCTACAAAAGTATTGCAAGCTTCTCTTCCCTCTTCCCGTCATTTGTCAAGCCCACAGCAGGCAGCACATTCGTGTGGATTGTACAAGAGTTAAAAGTCGGGTCCTCCAATCTTGTTTTCTAACCTCCCCTTGCATAGCTCCTGCGATGCCCTGATCCCCTTCTCCTTCACCCATTGCTCAGAGAAGCAGGCAGCACTTTAAATAGCAGTAGGAGGTATTGATTGTTTCAAATTTGGCCTCAAATACAGACTTACAAAGATTTACCGGGGCAAGGATCAACAACCTATCCCAGAGTGTTTATAAATAGCTTTCTCTTTCCAAAGAAGACAATATTTTATTTATAAATGTTATCATTCCATCCACTGTGATAAGGCAGAGTAATAGGATTGGCCACACCTGTGTGAAAGTGGTTTTCTTAAGAGCTGTCTCAAATGTTCCTTGATGAAATAGATCTGATCGAAATTCACAGACTACATACCAATGTACTCAAGGAAGGAGGCATTTTTGGCAAATGTTTGGGAAAAGGCAACATCCTTATGACCAAATATGAGAAATCAATTAGAAGAGAAAAAACCAAGCTTGCCTATGCACAGCTGTTTTTAACCTTTTTCCTAGGAATCTGATACGGTGCTTATGTCTTCAAAAGCTACCTTATGTACGCTTTTTTTTTTATCCTTTGTATGTGGACATACTTCATGTTGGTACAGTATGAACAGCAATTTAGTTTTTTACGAAAGTTGCACTGCTGTAGGACTGGAATGTATTCCAGTTAGTTTTTTGCTCACTGTAAGTTGGTATAACATACTACTATTACACGATGAGTACTTTTACTACCATTATTTTGGAATAATTTATTTTTTTGTGCATAGGTATGATTTTGGGGCCATAAAAAGTTTAACTGTGTCTAAACAGATCACTTAAATCAGGCCCACTTAAAGGCTGAGTGGTTGGGTTTCTGAAATTATTATTTTACACATTGAAAAAGTGCAGGGAGAGGGATATTCTATTAATTAATGTAAAAATATGTATATTGATAGTGTCAGCACTGCCTTACCTATATATATATAATAATTCATTACACTGTATTTAATTGGAGTATTTCTTAATGTAAATCTTGCAGCTATTTTAATGTATGTAAACCTTTATTTGCCTTATGAGAATGTTACATAAACTGTTAAAAACACAGGCCATCTTAATTTTATGCTTAACAATATATTTTTAGAGTGCAGGGTAATTTTCAGTAGTATGGGTCTGTTTTTCCTGGGAGCCATAAAGGTTATCGGTTGAACACATTTTTTTTCTGTCTAATCTTAGTTTTCCCTGAGTTCCTGAAAGCCCAGGAGCTGGCATCAGATTTATATGATATAATTTTCTTGGAAATTCTCAAATTGGTGTTTGCACTCTCTGAAAGCAGCTGTAGGGCAAGACCCAGAGCTGTCATGAACAGATGCTTCTCCTGGTGCTCGTCTCTGACTGCCTCTCTCTGTGTTTTGTCCCTCTCCAGTCCCAGAACGCCTCTCCCAAGCAGAGGAAGCAGAGCGTCTTCACCCCGCCTGCCCTCAAAGGTACTGTGCAGGTACTGTCTCTGCCCTGGCAGGGCACGTTCCCCCTGCGCCGTGGCGTTGGGTCTTCTCTTGTGGGGGAAAGACTGGGGCGTGAGCAATGGCTCACTGCCTATGAGCAGCACAGCGGTGACAGGCTGGTGCTTAGCCATCCCTCTTCCCACACTTGGAAGTGACTCTCTGGCACTGACCATCTGCCTGACACTGACCATCTACATATCCTCTCCACAGAACCTTGCATCAGTGGCAAGTTTATTAGTTTGAGTTCTTTCTTTAAAGCACCTTTTTTTGCAAAGCCTGGATACTTTTATTAGTTTGAGGTATCAGGTGATTCCACCCCAAACACTGATGGGAACTCCTGGAATACATAGGTTTTAGCAGCGCTGGCTCCATACAACCCTCTGTTTCTTATTTAAACCACTCCCGTATGTTCTGCCTCCCTTTCCCGGCAGCTGGGAGAAGAATAGCCAAGTTGTGGGCTGGGTGTCTGATCGTCGGAAGTGTGAAGCCTTTCTTGTGAAAACAAGGGGAAGTGAGAAATCTCGGTAAACATTTAAAGGGCTTACATGCATTTCAGGAATGATCGTACAAGCAGCAAATCAGAACAGCTACATTTAAGCCTTGTTTCTCAAGTGACTCGGAACAGAGTTTGACTTGACCATGCTTGCAGTGAAGCAAGATCTATAGTGATTCACCAGCCTGACACTTGTCAGTGCAGGACCACTTTCCAACTGCAGACCAAAGGTTGTCCTGCCAGCTGTCTCTTGATAGAGAATTGAATAGCCTAAATTTCCATTCCTTCTGCTTAACACAATTTCTTATCTGGCAAAAAAAAGGGAGGGTATTGGATTTGTTGTGTGAAATATGGCTGCTGCTGTTAGGTAATTTACCATATCAGCCAGTTCTATGTATCTCATTGTGTTGCTTCAGTTCTCTAGTACTTGTCTTAGCAACAGTTAGAACATCACCCAGGTACCGCACAAGACTTACTATCTCTTTGTCAAAATGGGCCAGATTTTGTGTACTGAATATTAGAAATAAGATTCATACAGTCAATTATAATAATCTGTGGTAGGAAGAAGCTTTGAATGGGTAGCAATAATACCTATTGATCTCACTGCTGTATTATTTCGCTGTGCAAGCCTAAATTAAATACTGTGCCAATGAAGTGCTCTGTGAAACAGGTCCTTATCTCTCCTCACAGCCTACTCAGTGTTACCTTGAATACCCTGCTGAGATCTGAGGAAGTACCTAGCATAGTTTTCCTCTACATCAACTTAATTCCTAGGGAACAGTAGGAAAGCAGGGAAGTAAGTGATTCAAGACAGATCACAACTAACCTGAAATATTTTGGAGACAGAACAAAGTACATCACAAAATGCCTCTCCTCAACACCTTAACACCCTAAATTACACGTTATTCCCAGATACACAGATGGACAACTAGAAGTTGGTAACCCTTCTGTAAACAGACTGGATTGCTCCAGATTTACTGCACTGTAACTGCCATAAATACTATTCTTCTTATTTAAAAATTACTTGAGGAAGAAAATTCATTATTCCTTCCTCTTCATTGTTATGAAAACATGAGTGTTATTTTGTTTAGACTAAGAGATTAGGAAGCAAACATGTAGCAGTGTGAAATACACAATGCTATGAAAGCATTACTGAGAAATACAGAGGTTTTTGTAATGATTCTACTTTTTATAGCTGTTGAAGATAGTGATGTTCAGCAATATTTTCAGAATAACAGGCTTTGTAATTACAGACTATTCCCACAGCTTTGCATATGTTTATTTCCTGTGGGCTGTTTCTCACATATTCGCAATATGGTCTTCAATATACTGTAAAGGATGAGGTTCTGCAAGCTGAGCCTCTCTCCTTTACATCCCCCTTGGCCTCCCCGTATCCTTCAGGGCCATTAGTAATGGAAGGTGGCATAGACTGTAATCCGGTACCTTACATTTAAAGATGGAGATAATAAATCTCCATAAAACAGAACTTGTAGTGGAAAAGAGGGACTAACATTTTCAGTTGTTACATTTCCCTGTAATTTTCATAGTCTTCAGCTGCTGTTAATTCCAAGTTCCCAGAAATAAGCCAAGCTCGCAGGCGGGCACAGAGCCTGGCAGCCCAGACAGCAGCCACGTGCACAGAGCTGTGGGAGAGACGAGGGGCCATGGCACGAGCTCTGCCCTGTGCCTACCGCAGAGAGGTGGTCAAGAGAAACTGCGGGGGAGGTCATGCTCCAGCCTGACTCCCAGTCTCCAGTACCTCTTGAGATTATTATTTCTTCTTTCAACTGAAAACATTTTTGCTGTACTTCTTGCAAGTTCCTTGAAATAATTACCAAACCATGTGAGAGAAGAGTTGCTGGTTTCATGAATTCGTGGCCAAGCAAGAGAGCAAGCAGGAGTAAATTAACCTGCATGTTGTGATTACAGCCAAAATCAGAAATTGTTAGCATGGTTAAAATGAGACAATAGTGTCAGACATCAGACAATAGTGATGACAAGTAACAGTACCAGGACTATAGTACATGTTATATGGAACATGAAAATACATGATAATATCTGAAATAAATGAAAGTCATAGAATCATAGAATCGTGATGCAATATGCAATATTGATGCAAAATGCAATATTGCTGATGTTCTGCATGTCATGGTAAATAAATGGAGATCAGCTTCTTAGTTAAAATTGGGCATATTTTTCCCCTCTGCTATAGCAGTCACGTAAACGGAAAGACAGTATTATTTTTGGTCTAGCATTGCCCCCAAATAGTTTTGTTCCATCATTAAAATATCTTGCTTTAACTCGAGGCGGGTCTGTAGTTGCTGATGCAAGCTGTAGCAAACGCATGTCTCTGCAGAGCCAGTGTCATGTTATGGTGCAACAGGCAGGTTCTTATTACTATATATTTGTGTGTACTTTGGCTCCTGTTTTTATTTTCCTAAACGAAAATGCACCAGCATCCCTACAGACGGAGCAAAGGGCTGACTCATCCCAGGGCATTGTTCTTTTTACTGGAATACAGTGTGCTGGAAAAATCAATGTGAGAGCTATTGATTTAGGTGGTAATCTGGAGAGCAAATCAGACAGCAAACCAGATAACAGCTCAGTGCAATGTTCTTGTTAGTATTATATTACTAAACCTAATGGATGTCAAAGAGGTTTTCCATTTTGCTTTCAAAGAGATTTCTTTTCCTAACCCTGCTACGCTAGTGTTTGTTCATTCTTGACTCTTACGTAGCATGCAATGTTGGCAAAAGTCAGTGTCTGAAGTTGTGATTTACCTTTTTTCACACTATTTTCTAGGTATGGCAATCCTCTTACCTGAGGATTTATCACCTCTATTTCCCCTGGTTTTGTCACTTTTTTATTCTGTTACTCTTGGATTTTTATGCCCGAACTTCAATTTCTCTCATCCTTCTCTAAATTCTAATGATCTAATATACTAGTCTTTAATCTCCATCGCTTTTTTTCATGTGGTCTTCTTCATGTGCAGAGGTTGGTTTGAACCTCTCTATGAAAAACACCATAACAACAACCAGAGGAAGGTTTCCCAATTTGAAGAGTCACCAGTTTTACCTAGGGCAATCTGTTCCAGTAAATACTCATTGCGCAAGGCCTGTTTCTCCTATTTACTAATCTGCTTCTCATTCTGTATGACAAAACCGAGAAAAACCCCTAGGTGTTTTTCCTCCATACAAAGTAGAAGTCCAGCTGTTTTAACACAAATATGCATCCCTCCATCCATCCACCCACCTACCCACAAATAGCATCCTTAGAGATCTCTTCATTGTTCTGGTCAGTGGGTTAGAGAAGCCCCTGGAAGCCTTGCTGGATTCTCACCCTTTTCTCCTCACACTCTCTGGAGAAGTCTAAAATGGGATGATAACACTCCCAGGTGGAGAGCGACCAAGCAGAAGGCAGTTTAGACTGCCAAGGCAGAAGCAGGATGCACTTAGGTAGTGGTGTTTCCTTGGCATCTCGTTACCACTAGAAAATCCGACACGTTTGAGTCTCAGAGCTACAGCTGCCACGTTCCATCCCAAGGCATACTTTCTGGTGAGGCAGGTTTACTTCTACCTAGATAGTCACATTTTGACTGGTTTATCAGCTCATCCTTGAAAGGAAAGGCAGACTGAAGTGACAGGAAACAAGGTTTACAAAGGCAAACAGAAGACAGCCTGAGCTGTTCCCAAACCTGCATCACTCCCTAGAGCTCCCAAATCTCCACATTATCTACCAGCTATTGCTATTTATACTAGCAGCTATTTAAATACCATCAAGGTCTCCCTCCCGTGGAGGAAGTGCATTCCTGAGTGGTTTGAGGATTTCACTGAGTCCACTGGTGTGGGTGTGCTGGAGGTCAGGGAAAAAGGAAACCTTCACTCATCCTAGTTCACGCTGCAGGAGGCCATTTAGATCAGCACCAAGATCCTGCTAACTTCAGCAGCCTTTAAAGAAAGTTCTTGCAGCTTTCTGTGTTTACTGGACTACCTTTGCAGTCAGCCGCCATCAAATCGTAATTAAAGCCTTTCCCCACAGAGGTGAAAGGTACATTGGACTGTTTTCCCTCTCAGCCTTTTGGGAAATACATACTTTAAATTCCCCTCTTAATGTATTTTACTTTGCATAGAAACAAAGACTTTTTCTTGAGCTAGGCTCCAGCTACAACATTTGAAATGGGATTAAATCTGAGTTGTTATAAATCTAAGGAATGTTCAAAGGACATCATTTTGGTTTGACTCATTAAAATAACCAGGACTCACTGGCTGTTCCCAGAGTGTTCAGACCCAGGGATTTGATACATGCATAATTCTAGTATTTACAATGATGGTTGATATTAAATGAGCTCTTTCTAATTTCTGCCATGAATTTCTGATGCTCAGCTTGTTTAGTGCCTGCTTGTTCTTCTCTCCAAAGGAAACAACATGCAGAATAAATGATTAAAATCATGATGTCCCTCCTGAAATATGTAATTTATTAGAAGCAATTA